GTACTTAGCAAGATAACACAGCACACCTCATAAGATGGCTAGAAGATGAGCACTATACTGGTAAACCCTGAATTGTCACACTTCCATTTACTTGTGTACAGTTTTTGTACATTTATAATCATAATTATAATGTTACTGAGGTAGATTGAGAACATTTCTTGTTACATTTTCTGATGCATATTGATGCTACTATGCTATGTAACAAGTTTGAGTTGATTCCAACAAACATTTTTCAAGTTGCAGCCAATTTAAGAAAACACCAAAATTCTGAAAAATGTCAATGGTTTTTTCCAAAAAATGGTTCCAAAATTGCCCCAAATTTTTATTAAATTTTCTGATACATATTGATGCCCTTATGCTGTGTAGCAAGTTTGAGCTAATTTCGACAAATATTTTTGGAGCTACGGCCATTTTAAGAAAGCGCCAAAATTCTGAAAAATACCTAAGGCTTTAGCCCATGGTTTTTTCCAAAAAATGGCTCCGAAATTGCCCCAAATTTTTATTACATTTTCTGATACATATTGATGCCCTTATGCTGTGTAGCAAGTTTGAGCTAATTTTGACAAATATTTTTGGAGTTACGGCCATTTTAAGAAACCGCCAAAATTCTGAAAATACCTAGGGCTCCAAAATTGCCCCAAATTTTTATTACATTTTCTGATACATATTGATGCTCTTATGCTGTGTAGCAAGTTTGAGCTAATTTCGACAAATGATTTTGGAGTTACGTCCATTTTGAGAAAATGCTGAAATTCCAAAAAATACCCAAGGCTATATATAGCCTTGGGTATTCTTAGGTATTTGATGGTTTTTTCCAAAAAATGACTCTAAAATTGCCCCAAATTTTTATTACATTTTCTGATACATATTGATGCCCTTATGCCATCTAGCAAGTTTGAGCCGATTCTGACAAATTTTTTTGGAGTTATGGCCATTTTAAGAAAACGCCAAAATTCCAAAAAATACCCAAGGCTATAGCCCATGGTTTTTTCCAAAAAATGGCTCCAAAATTGCCCCAAATTTTTAATACTTTTTCTGATACATATTGATGCCCCTATGCTGTGTAGCAAGTTTGAGCTGATTCCGACAAATAATTTTCGAGTTATAGCCATTTTTAAAAACGCCGAAATGCCGAAAAATACCCAATGCTATAGCCCATGTATTGATTAGATATTTAGTACACTATGACAGCTCAATCTTGATAAAAATTCTAATTACATTCTGTTCAAGCTTAAGCCTCAATTACAATTATGTTATTGTAATTGTAATTGATTTTGCTTGTTTTATAATAATCATTAGACCTCAGATCTTATTTTTTTACTAAAATGAGCCTTTAATTACAATTAATGGCCCTCGGTGGGTCAACCCCTGACACCTTTGAAAGGAGGAGGCGCCGGTTGGAGTTTCCATGGAAACCCCGTGCCTGAGCTCGAAACAAGGACACTGACCTGGCACTTTTCCCACTGTGACCTAACATGCAGAAATGGGCCGTAAATTGTACTTGACCCCATGTCTGATTTGTCCTTATCAATTTGAAAATTATCTAACTGTGCATATATGATATTCATATTACATTGAAAACTACAACTTTTATAGGTTTTTATAAAGCGAGTGATATTGATTCTCTATTGGATGAGTGCATTATAATGATGTCATTTGATAATTTAAATGTATTACCACTGATTGGTGTGTGTCTTGATCTTGGACCAGCTCCATACATTATCATGCCTTTCATGTCAAGAGGAAGTTTATTGTCTTACCTCAAGAAAGAGAGGCCTAATCTTACAGTAGCTGATACCAGTGAAGAGGATATTATACTGAATGTCAGAAAACTGTTACTCTCCATTTGTTTACAAGTTGCCAAAGGAATGTCTTACTTAGCTTCCCACAGGTTCATTCATCGTGATCTTGCAGCTAGAAATTGCATGTAAGTCTTTGTTGTTCTACTCCAAGTTTTTTAATTCAATTTTAATAAACACTTTCACTGTCATCTTAATTTCATTAGT